TTGCCCCGCGTTTTATTTTCATATTCTTGGTTTATTTGACCATTTATTTCGCTTTTTTATTTGCATGTTAGAAGGAAGTTAAAGCCAAAGAGGATTCCAAAACTAAGAAGTTTAAAAGGGAATAAATTGAAATAACTGCAGGAATCAAGGTCGACGTAAAGGGGATTTACGTTGATGACGCTAAAAAAGAAAACTCTTAAAAATATCTGAAACATTTATTAGAACATGCTCCTAAAATAAATCATCATCGAATTAAGAAGAAGAGAAGTTACGTTATTGGTTCTGTAAGAAATCGATTCAAAATTTGAATAATGCCAAGGTTTATAACAACTTCGCAGACATTTTTATCGCGGAGTGTATTCTGCACGCGATAAGGCTTTCGAATTGATCTCTCATTTAATTTCCGAAATATCAATAATCTGGTTTTTAGTTGAATAGAATTATAAAGTTTATATAAGAATTCGATATAAAGTTTATATAGGAATTCGTCTAAAATTCGGTCTTGTGCCGAGTATTATAGTAAACAAGAAATCATACGTTAATTATGAACAAGTCCACCCCGGGGTATATTATCTAGGAGAACCGCTCTGACTTGGGTGTTATTAAAAGCAATGGAAATAGATGTGCTGACAATGCCTCTAGTCTGTTAGGACTATAAACTGAGGGAGTCATGTGTTTCGGACTTTGTCTTGAAACGTACCTTCAGTATTCGAGTGATGGCTATGTTTAAACCAAAATCGCATAAAGAGAGTATCGGTTTTAATACTAATGCAAGTTGAAATCAGTGTTTCGGACAGTGTTGCCAATTTTTGTTCACTATTTAGATTTAGATTCTGACAGTTTCTTTAAACTAAACTATAGCTATACTTTAGACTAGGCTAGAGACTAGTCTATAGGCTAGACTGTCGACTAGACTAAAGACGAAACTATAGACTAGACTATAGACTAGACTATAGACTAGACTATAGACTAGACTATAGACTAGACTATAGAATAGCCTATAGACTAGACTATAGACCAGACTATAGACTATACTTTAGACTAGGCTAGAGACTAGTCTATAGGCTAGAATATCGACTAGACTATAGACCAGACTATAGACTAGACTATAGACTAGACCAACGGTTCCCAAATGGGGGTCCGCGGACCCCTAGTGGTCCGTAGTAAAATCCTAGGGGGTCCGCGAAGACGAACGAAAAAAAACATGAATAAACAATATTCTTTTATATGTATGTACAAATATCTCCAATTTTTGTGCAATAATCCTAAATTTTTTGGTGACTTTTTGAATTTTATTTTTTCGGTTGTTTATCAGGAAGAAGCTAGGCCGTACAAATTTATTGTATAACTTTTATAAAGTAAAGTATTGCGTGATTTGTAATTTTTATTTCCTGTATATGTACTGAAATATTGGTTTTTATTTCAGACAAATAATACTCTGCCTTACAATTAAATTAATTCCGGAGTATGAAGTTCAATTCAAAGACAAGCTTATTATAGATTTAAGTTTATCAAATTGTAAGCAAAAGTGTTCTTGTTTGAAAGGACTAAAATTATATATTTTCAAAACAGAGGTGACTCTTTATGCATCTCTTTATAAATATTTCAATCCGACGTGATACACAGATTTTAACTTGATTTTGTCGACCAATACATATTATTAAATTAACATCAGAAAATCCATAGCGTTTCGCGTAAATATGTAGCCAAAAACCATGAAGTAAAATAATTCGTTGGTATTTTAAAATTTAAATTTAAGTTCCAAATTCACAGTACTTTAACTAAGAGTTCAAATCATATATTATGCGGATAACGCATTCCGCAACAACATAGAAGAAGTCCAACTTTCTTATATTATTTTCTCGAAAACTTAGCTCACTTACTCAGTTCACCCTTTGCAATCGCAACAAATTTTTGAAACGTGACTCCTTAAGCACATGTGACAATATTTGATATTGATATTTTCGCTACCTTGAAGAAAAATGAACATGAAAGATCTCACGATCATAAAATGAAACATCATGTTAACATATCAACAAAGAAGTCATTCTATCTTCAAAACTTGCAATTGAAAACCTATTTGAAATATTATATATTCTCAATGTACGGGAATATTTTATAGATATGACATCTCTACATTTATTAGACCTAGGGATTAATGGACTAGGTCAATTTTCGGATGGACAATTATTTAGAACAATAGAATATCAAAATATGTATGGGGGTCCGCGAAATTAAATAAGTTCTTCAAGGGGTCCGCGAAGTAAAAATCGGTGGGAACCGCTGGACTAGACTATAGACTAGACTATAGACTAGACTATAGACTAGACTATAGACTAGACTATAGACTAGACTATAGACTAGACTATAGACTAGACTATAGACTAGACTATAGACTAGACTATAGACTAGACTATAGACTAGACTATAGACTAGACTATAGACTAGACTATAGACTAGACTATAGATTAGACTATAGACTAGACTATAGACTAGACTATAGACTAGACTATAGACTGGACTATAGACTAGACTATAGACTAGACTATAGACTAGACTATAGACTAGACTATAGACAGGACTATAGACTAGACTATAGACTAGACGATAGACAGGACTATAGACTAGACTAGACAGGACTATAGACAGGACTATAGACTAGACTATAGACTAGACGATAGACTAGACTATAGACTAGACTATAGACTAGACTATAGACTAGACTATAGACTAGACTATAGACTAGACTATAGACTAGACTATAGACTAGACTATAGACTAGACTATAGACTAGACTATAGACTAGACTATAGACTAGACTATAGACTAGACTATAGACTAGACTATAGACTAGACTATAGACTAGACTATAGACTAGACTATAGACTAGACTATAGACTAGACTATAGACTAGACTATAGACTAGACTATAGACTAGACTATAGACTAGACTATAGACTAGACTATAGACTAGACTATAGACTAGACTATAGACTAGACTATAGACTAGACTATAGACTAGACTATAGACTAGACTATAGACTAGACTATAGACTAGACTATAGACTAGACTATAGACTAGACTATAGACTAGACTATAGACTAGACTATAGACTAGACTATAGACTAGACTATAGACTAGACTATAGACTAGACTATAGACTAGACTATAGACTAGACTATAGACTAGACTATAGACTAGACTATAGACTAGACTAGACTAGACTAGACTAGACTAGACTAGACTAGACTAGACTAGACTAGACTAGACTAGACTAGACTAGACTAGACTAGACTAGACTAGACTAGACTAGACTAGACTAGACTAGACTAGACTAGACTAGACTAGACTAGACTAGACTAGACTAGACTAGACTAGACTAGACTAGACTAGACTAGACTATAGACTAGACTAGACTAGACTATAACTAGACTATAGACTAGATTATAGACTAGACTATAAACTAGACTATAGACTAGACTATAGACTAGACTATAGACTAGACTATAGACTAGACTATAGACTAGACTATCGACTAGACTATAGACTAGACTATAGACTAGACTATAGACTAGACTATAGACTAGAATATAGACTAGACTATAGACTAGACTATAGACTAGACTATAGACTAGACTATAGACTAGACTATAGACTAGACTATAGACTAGACTATAGACTAGACTATAGACTAGACTATACTAGACTAGACTATAGACTAGACTATAGACTAGACTATAGACTAGACTATAGAGTAGACTATAGAGTAGACTATAGACTAGACTATAGACTAGACTATAGACTAGACTATAGACTAGACTATAGACTAGACTATAGACTAGACTATAGACTAGACTATAGACTAGACTATAGACTAGACTATAGACTAGACTATAGACTAGACTATAGACTAGACTATAGACTAGACTATAGACTAGACTATAGACTAGACTATAGACTAGACTATAGACTAGACTAGACTATAGACTAGACTATAGACTAGACTATAGACTAGACTATAGATTAGACCATAGCCTAGACAATAGACTATAAAGTAGACTATATGCTAGATTATAGGCTCGATTATTAGACTCGTCTATAGACTCGGTTATAGACTACGATTTGTGAAAAAATTATTTACAGAAATTTACAAAAGCTGGTTTAAAATCATCAAATTTCCCGCTAATGACTAAAACGCAATTTTCCCGTAATTGTCATTTAAAAAACGTCAAACTGGCAACAGTGATTTCTTTATAATTTCGATGTTGTTGCCTCAAAGACATAGGAGAAAAATTGTATGACCTGATGTCAAATGAATGAGATACAGGTTAACTATTATTTATGTGTCCTCGATGAATTTCTCCCGCTTTATAAAGTAAATGCAGGGTTTAACCCTTGGGTTTAAAAACACCACCTTTGGATTCATATGTTCTATATGAGAAATAAAGCCATGTTGAAGAAAAATTAAGTCTGATTAGTAGCTTGATTACATTGACGAGACGGACTGACGGACCTCAAATCGGAAAATTAGTTTGAGCCGTTATGCTTTAAGATGGGTGTAGGAACATTAGTCACGGATATAACAAACATCAACTCAAAAGCATAATACCTTCAGTGCTATAGTGGTGTTGGGTATAATTATAAGAAGAGGCGATGGTGCGGTTTTAATCAGATACTTAGACAGAGAAAATTTTTAAATACCAAACAAAAGGAATTTCTCAATCTATTTTAAACGTTTCCTAAAGTGTTCTTTTGTTTTTCTATAAATAAATTATGAGTATTATTTTATTCAAACAAAGCCCTTAAATATACGAAGGTAGTTTTAAAATTCCGTGGCAATTTTGCATAAACGAAAAATTTTGAATTTTTGACAATACAATGTAGACGATGTGGAACTATGAGTGTTTTTGCAAAGATATGTATAAAAATTTAGTTCAATATTATAAATCTTTTTGTTAACTTTATATAGAACTAATTAAAATGGCCTAAAACAAATTGTGAAAATAATATAAATAAATAAAATAATTAATAACAAAAATGTTAATAGACATTTGCGGTTCCTAAATTAAACTAATTACTAAATAATGAAAAGTTGAATCATCAAAGATGTTCTTAAAACTCCAAAGTTAAAGCTATAAAAACTCATAAAACCCACAACACACAAACACCAATGAACTGCTTAAAAGAAACCATGGAAAGTCGTTTACTTGAATACCGACCCATAGGAGGTGGTCTAGACTACCATCACAACTCACCATTGATAGGTGAAATACCACCGGGCGGAGACTATTCGCAAGCGGTACATCGTTCCATAGATCAATTGCGCAATACACTCAATGAACGTGTCACTTTGGGACCGTTAAGTGTTTTCTCTAATACCGCCGATATAAGAACTTCCGTTTTGAATTATACTAATCAGCCGCATCAACAGCATCAGCAACCGCAATATCAACTACAGGGAACGGTTTCAACTACGACGGGCAATGTTTCTGGTACCGAAAATGTTCAGATGCAACTAACTAAAAGCGCTTGCATGGATGGTAAATTGGCAGATTCTACTACAGGAGCAGTTGTTACATCTAGCCAACCCACTTCAGGCGGAAGAGGACGTAAATCGAAAATCTATACAAATCCCAATCAGCATATAATTGTTACTAGCAATAGCGTGGACAATGGGGGAACACGGGCCCAAAATCGTCAGCAACAGAATGAAACGAACAATAATGGAATATCATCGTCAACTTCTTCACCTCATCATCATATGCAAATGCAAGATATTAAAGATACCAAGGTATTTTTAGGGGTAACCAAAAATGTTTATTCTTATTGAAATTTAAAAACCAAAAACAATTTCTATCGATAGATATTAAAATCTTTCTTAATTTAAATTTGATATTAACAGTACATTTGTTTTTACAGATTTTCACTTCAAAAGCTGATCTCCAACTACATACTCAAATGCATATGCGTGAATCGAAGCCGTATAAATGTACTCAATGCTCTAAAGCGTTTGCCAACTCATCGTATCTCTCACAGCATACACGAATACATTTGGGCATTAAACCGTATCGCTGTGAGATTTGCCAACGCAAATTTACCCAACTCTCGCATCTGCAACAGCACATACGCACGCATACCGGTGACAAACCGTACAAGTGTCGACATCCTGGTTGCCAAAAGGCCTTCTCACAACTCTCTAATCTGCAATCTCACTCCAGGTGCCACCAAACAGACAAACCCTTCAAATGCAACTCTTGCTATAAATGTTTCTCGGACGAGGCCTCCCTTTTGGATCACATACCCAAACACAAAGAGTCCAAGCATTTGAAAACCCACATTTGCCAGTATTGTGGCAAATCGTATACACAGGAAACATATCTAAACAAACATATGCAAAAGCACTCGGAGAGAACAGACAAACGACCGCCCATTGTGGCCACAAATGCGGGCAGTAACTCGGCTACCGGAACTGGAACAGGTAATAGTAACAATAATGCAGCTGTAGGAAGTAATACAACAACTAATAATGTTACTGCCACAGCAGGTGTAGGAGGAGGAGGAAGCGGCGGCGGCGGAGGTCATCCTGGTACAGGAAATCAACACAACCGCAACAATATCTCATTACCACCGGTAACTATAGCACCCACCGACAACTCGTATTGGCCCAAAGTCAGTCCCGACTCGGCAGCCAATATGAACGATGTCATGCATCAGCAACAGCCGCAACAACAACAGCAGCAACATTCCCATCAACAACATCATCAACAACAGCAGCAGCAACAAGCTCACAATGGCCAACAGCCAACGCAACAGCAGCAACACCATCATCCGCAACAGACGAACGCCCAACAACAACCTCCGACACAGCAACAAGGCCAAACTCATATGGACTATACAAATCATCAGGCGACTGGCGCCAATAATCCACACAATGATTTGCAAAATCATCATCGTATGAATGACACGGGTCGAGAGGATATAGGTGAGACATTTTGAGAAATTTTGTTTTCCTTGTAACTTTCGAAATAGAACGACCTTGATTATATACAGAGTTCTCATCATAACTAAATCATTCATATATATTTATATTGACATAATATCACAGATCTAGAAAGATTTAAAAAGCATCCATTTTAAATATGGATTGTTACTGGTTACTGGCAAGTTATCAGTGAATTACTAGAATATACTTTATGGAGGTCTAATATGACACCAATAGCCTTTAATATACATTTAATTAATAAATAATAATAATTTTCTTTCTCTTCCCCTATAGTTTCAACACCCTCAACTGTGGGCCCCTACGATGCCTCAAGTATTACAAAAACCACCACAAATTCAGCATTTACACCGATCAATTCAATGCCACCACATTTGAATACCCTCTCACATCATGCCATGAGCCAGCGTCCATATTTATATGATGCCATTAGTTTTCAGAATAAAAATGTCAATCAAAATAATGCTTCGAATTCGTTTCCAAATCAGTTGATATCGCTGCATCAGATACGCAACTATGCACATCAACCGGCTGGTTTAACGATGGCCGGTGAACATTTATTGGGTGTTAGTGTGGGTCCAGGTAAAGATAAGGGATAGCTATACTTTTAAATTAATTTTCTTTGGCGTTTGTTTTAATTAGCGCAATAGTTTAGTTTATATTAATGTTATAATTTTTTTTTTTTAATATTTTAAATAATTAATTTATAATTTATTTATATTAAAAATGTTTGCAACAAATATTTACACTTTAATACTTGCCAACTGTATTCAAAATCCTTTTAATTTGCTCAGATTTTTATTCCACCTAGGACTAAGACTGTATGAAAGAATGAATGTAGCTCCAGGGTACGAATATTATTAAGCTTGTGTTGAAAGTGTTCGTGTTTTAAATTCAAAAGTGTTACGTTCGTCTGTAACGAATCCTTAAAATGAATTTCGAAAATAGTCATATATATGGACTTAGGTATTGTAGATCGAACCTTCATGAAATTATTACAAGTATTTAAAGTATTGGTAGCACCTCGCTTTCCTGAGGTGCTACGGAAGTTTTTAAACTTTGGGACATGATATTTCGAAAACTTGATGTTATAAAGAAATTCCAATGCCAAGTTTATCCTTTAGAAAACAATACTTTGGTCTATGGGCTAAAAATATATTGGCCTGTGTAATTGACCCAAGTAAGTCTGGAAGGAACTATAGACTACTTTCTATTTTAAAATTTCATGTGGGCAAACGCCCATATACATATTGTGCCACGCCCATAAGTATTTAAAATCACGTATCTCAGAAACTGCAACAACTAGATTTCTCAAATTTTATAAGGACAACTTTTACATCTACATGAACATATGGGGACAAAATATTCGGACTAGCTATAGTGGGCGTGGCCCCTCCCATATAAAGAAATCTCTAAATTATTATATCTGAGAAAATATAACAGCTAGAGTCCTCTAATATTTCGGAGCCACTTTTTAAAGTGCCACGCCCAAATACATATTGTGCCACGCCCATAAGTATTTCAAATCACATATCTCAGAAACTGCAACAGCTAGATTCCTCAAATTTTGTAAGGACAACTTTAACATCTACATGAACATATGGGGATAAAATGGGCGAACTAGCTATAGTGGGCATGGCCCCTCCCATATAAAGAAATACTTAAATACTTAATACTTAATATCTGAGAAAATATAACAGCTAGAGTCCTCTAATTTTTCGGAGCCACTTTAGTATCAACATAAATACTTAGGACAAAAAATGAGCGGACTAGCAATGGGTGGCGTGGACCATCCCATATGAATTAAATGCAATAAATCGTTTATTTGGGCAACTATTAGAGCTGGAATCTTTAAATTTTTCAGGAAGCACTTTAACATACTATATGTGAACATTTTGGGGGAAAAATTGGCGGACTAGCTATAGGGAGCGTAGTACCTTCCATATAAATTAAATACAAAAATTCGTTTATATACAAACTATTAGAGATAGAATCTTGAAATTAAAAAAAGAGATTTAACATAAAAGTGAATATTTGGGAGTAAAATGTACGGGCATTCATTTTGCATCAAGAACTTTAACATTCATATGAACATGGGTGGTATCATACCCCTATTATGGACTATCAATAGAGGCTACGGTACCTCCCATATGCATTATAATAAAAATTCGTATGACTGGGAAACTAATAGAGTTAGAATCTTCAAAGATCGTGAGGTTTTTATTTATAATGTTTTTAGGCTAGCAAAGCACAATGGGTATAGCTAGTACATATGTATGTATATAAAATTCTAACGTTAATGACTGACTGACAGATTCATCAATGCACAGCCTAAACTGTTGAAGCTAAAATTTCGACTAGAGATTGGTCTCCCACCAAATTTTTGGAAATTCGAATGTTTAGGGGTAAAAAGTAAGAGTTATTATATCCGGAATAATATCACTCCCAAGATATTTGAATCTAATTTCGGCGAAAGCCTGACAATGGCAAAAAAAATTTTAAATAGTTGCATGGTCTGCATTTCCGAATAAACTTTCTTGAGACAGTCGATTCTATATATTAGAAGGACGTACAAAAACTTAAAGCTCTTCCACTGAAATATAAACATTTTGACATAAATATTTGTTGCATGCAAATTTAATAATTTAATTTTATAATTACATCTTCCATAAACATTTTAATTTTAAGTGTACAGTATTAATTTTTTTCATTAATTAAAACACAAATTTTAAGTTTTATTTGCAAAAGCACAATAATTTGTATAAAAACCGTCCATTAAGTTTAATAATGAATTTTACTTTTATAAATTAAATTTTTTTCTATGAATCACTCGCTCATTATTATAATTATAAATAGAATTTTTTTTTATTTAAAAACCAAAATTATATACAAAATTAAAGAGAAATCAAATATTATTGATTAAAAACACATTTTGATTTAAAAAAGAAACAAAAACAAAAGCAATTAAGTTTGAATTCTATTCAGCTACCCTCTCCCAATTACTGGAATTTTGTATGTATTATTACTTAATATAATTATTAAAAAAATATATATATATATATTTGTATATAATTTATATTATAATTTTATTTTTGTACTAATTATAAAAAAAAATAATGAAGAAAAAAATCTAAATTTAAAAAAAAAATCTAAAATGTTAAAATTTAGTATGTATTAGCTTTTAAAAGAAAAAAGAAACATTTTTGAAAAAATCATCTCCATTTATAAGGCATAAAATTTCTGAAAGAAATTAAAAAATACGAATAATTTTTTTATACGAAATATGAAATATAATTCAAAATTTATATTATTTGATTTAATTATAAATAAATATTTTTTTTTTTTACTTTTTTGCTAAATATTTTTAAAAAATTATTATTTAACTAAGACTGAACCGAATGTTAAAAAGAAATTTTATTAAATTTGTTTAAATGAAAAAAAAAAAACAACAAAGAAACACTAAGAATTTCCTAAATACTAAAAAATATACACTAAATTTTATAAGCTTTTGAATTTGTTAACACTAATCGGAGAGATTTTTATACCCTACACCACTTTAGTGGATTTGTGCTAATGTTTGTAACGCATAGAATTAATGGTGCTATACCCATTCATCATTTTCTCTGCCGATTAAGCCATGTCCGTCTATCCGTCTGTCTGTCCATGTAAACCTTGTAATCAAACTATAATTTTGAAGATAATTCGATGAAGTTTGGTACACGTATTACTTTTGAATCAAGGACGCTATCGATTTTGGTTGATAACAGACCATTATTTAACCTAGTCCCCATACAAGCGGACCCCCCAAAATTGTGCTTTAGAGCCTAACATTACGCCAAATACATGAAGTGAGGTTAGGTTTGCAGGAGGATATATCAACATGAAATCCGTAAGAATACATCAAGTCCAGTATCGGACCTGTTATGTACTCTTTTTATTGAAAATTTTTGTAAGTCAAAGCAAAAACCTTATATAGTATATGTATTATCGTCCGATGTTCAGAAACTCAGTTTCCTGTACGTAATACCTAAGAATTTTTCATTCAGTGTATAAGTTATATTAGGTTGAGCGGATTATATATCAACATAAAATCCGAAGAAATACACCAAGACCACTATGGGCCTGTTGAGCGCTACTTTTCATGGAAAATATTTGTTGGTGAATACAAAAACCTTATATAGTCTTCACAGAATGTATTATCGTCCGAAGTTCAGAAACTCAGTTTCCTTAACGTAATTTCTAAGGATTTTTCCATTAGTGTTTGTGAGGGTTGCTATATCCGGGATCATATCATACCCAAGATATTTGGATCTAATTTCGGCAAAGACCTGACAATGGCAAAGAAAGTGCTTCAGGGTTTCACTATCCTCCTAAGTACATGCACGTCCCGTTTCTTTTAGCTGTCACATAATCCTGTGTGACCACTCAGACTTGTTCATTTTAAGGAGACTTCCCGTCCTGCTCTCATTGGGGTCACCCCATAGGATCATTGTGGTTCCACCTATTGTTTCAGGCCTTATGTCTTGCTCAATGACATATTGTAACTCTGGCCTTGTTTTGCATTCGTCAGGTTATCTACCTCGAGCTCCCTTCCCTTTAAAGCTATAACATTCGCTCTTTCGTTGCCGACTACTTCCGAGTGCCCTGGTAAATCTTACCTCTGGGAGAGTATTCTGTTAGAGCTTTTTTAAAAAGCAATAAGGTCTTAAATTTAACTGTATTATCTGATATCGCCCTAATTGTCTTCTGGCTGTCGGTAAATATGTTATGCCCTGTGGCCGCCATATTTATTCTAAACCAATAAACGTATTCCGTTATTGCTCGGACTTCTGTCTTGAAGCTAGTATTGTGATTAGGTAAACAGTGGTATATTTCTGTTTCTGGGTCTTCAATATAGAACCCAAGGTCTACTGTGTCTCCCAATTTAGAGCCATATACGTAGCAACGGATTCCTACTGATCAGTTTTTCAAAATTCCCGACTTATTATGGGTCTAGTATACGATCGGGCACGTGTGATGATTGTATATTGCCTTACAGTATGTCCAGAATACATTGATAACATATCCTATAACTGCTTTTGGCTAGTTCGCCTAAAGTTATGAGCCGTACGGCTGTAAGTTCCGTCTCATATATTATATACATATGTTTCAATGGGTGGAATATCTAGCAACGTTTCCAGAGCCTTGCTTGACGTACGTTGAACTCTAAACTGTATTTTATATAAAAACTTTTCAGAATATATGTATAAAACCGTTTCATTATTCCAAGAGGCCTTACGGCTTTCTCTTAGTTATATTTTTAAATTCTGCTCTCGTTGCGTCTATTGGTTTTGCGTTCATCAGGTTAACCACCTCGAGCTCCCTTCCCTTTAAAGCTATTACATTCGTTCTTTCGTTGCCGACTTCTCCCGAGTGGTCTGGTACCCATATAATAAAAATCTTACCTCTGGGAGAGTATTCGGTTAGAGCTTTTTTACAATCCCATACTGTCTTAGATTTCACTTTATCATCTTATATCGCCCTTATTGCCTTCTGGCTGTAGGTAAATATGTTAAGCCCCAATTTACGCATTCCGTGGACTTTTGCCTTGAAGCTAATGTTGTGATTAGGTAGTTGTGGGTCTTCAATATAGAACTCCAGGCTCACTTAGTCCCCCAATTTCAAGCTGTCTGCATAGCAACTGATTCCTACTGAACCCATTCTATCTGGAGTCAAGGTTACAAAATTTCCCAGCTTTCGAATGTGTCTAGCATACATTCATTACGAGTCCTATAACCGCTTTTGGACAGTTTGCCTAAAGTTATGAGCCGTTCAGCTGTAATTTCCGTAGTACTCTTGGCACCACTTATACCCAAGCAACACGTACGCTGAACACCGAACTGTCAAGCATTTTATATAAAAACGTTTCAGAATATATAAAACCGTTTTGGGTTCATCAGGTTAACTACCTCGATCTTCCTTCCCTTTTGCTCTTTCGTTGCCAACTACTACCTAGTGGTATGGTATCCATATGATGAAAATCTTATCCCTGGGAGAGTATTCGTTTAAAGCTTTTTCACAATATAATACAGTCTTAGATTTAACTTTATCATCTGATATCGCCCTTATTGTCTGGCTGTCGGTAAATATGTTAAGCCCTGTGGCGGCCATATATATTCCAATTCAATTTAAGAATTCCGTTATTTCTCCTACTTCTGCCTTGAAGATAGTGTTGTGATTAAGTTGTTGCTAGTCTTTAATATAGAACCCCAGGTCCACTTAGTCCCCCAATTTCGAGCCATCCACGTAGCAACGGATTCTTACTGAACCCAGTAGGATTCTATCTGGAGTAGAGTTACAAAATTTCTATATTTTCAATATTTTCTCTGTCTGTGTCCGATGATGGTATATACCATTCCAATGTGTTCAGCATACATTCATGACGAGTCCTATAACCGCTTTTGGCCAGTTTGCCTAAAGTAATGAGCTGTTCAGTTGTAAGTTCCGTCTCATGACTTCTATATGTTTCTATGTGTGGAATACCTAGGAACGTTTCAGATCCTTGGATCAGCAGTATGTACGCTGATCTCCCTGTAGTAGTTTGACACTTTTCGTACAAAGCAGTCCACCAGATTTTTGAAGCATTAGCTAAAAAAGGAAAAAAAAAAAGAGGGAAATAATTCGGTAACTTCTAAACGGTTAATCCGATTTTAATGAAATTTGGTACGCACAAAGAGGAGGTGTTGTCGAGTTTAGGTTTTGAATTTGGACCTTATAGGCCAACCAGGGGCCCGGCGGGGGGTCCTCAAATTAGGACACCTCGGCTATGTTAAATTTTTAAAACGATCCTATTTCTTCATTTGAGTTCTGATTTAAAAAAAACTTTCGTATATAGAATCTCCTCATCGAGCA